TCTGCCTGCCTCTGCCTCCCCCGTGGGAGTAAAGTCGTGAGCCACCACCACCTGGCAATGTCTGAAGAAGGCTGAGAACATGCACAGGGAGCAGTTACATCATCACACACTTCTCTAGAGCCCACCTGCCAGGAACTGCACACCCCATTTAAGTTGGGTGTTGTCAACTGACAGGAATCTGAAAGGTTTCACTCTGGGGGCATAAACTGAAGGTAGAACTAAAGACAAACTTGGAAATCTAGGAGAATCATTGCTGCATGGTTCTTATAGTCAGATTAAATTTAAATTCTCTCTCTCTGTCTCTGTCTCTGTCTCTGTCTCTTTCTCTCTCTCTCTCTCTCTCTCTCTCTCTCTCTCTCTCTCTCTCCCACACACACACACACACACACACACACACACACATGGGTGTGGGCTTATTCTTGTCACAGTACTTTGGGTAGAGGTCAGAAGACAGTCTTTGTTTCCAGGCATCTTGTGGAGTCCAGGGATTGAACTCAGGCTTGTACACTAGCATCTCTATCAGTTGAACCATCTTGCTCGCCTTTACAGTCATATTTTAACTGTCCCTCCGATAGCTTTTGTATAGAATTGAGATACATAGCAAGTCCCAGGTTAACCAGTGCTACAATAGTGAGAGCCTGTCTCAAAATAAATAAACTGGGTGTGGTGGTGCATGCCTTTAATCCCAGGACTTGGGAGACAGAGGCAGGTAGATCCGAGTTTGAGGACAGCCTGATCTACAGAGCCAGTTCCAAGACAGCCAGGGTTATACAGAGAAACCCTTTCTACACAAAAAAACCAAAATAATAACAAGGAAAACTCAACCTCCCTGCCAAAGTTCAACAACTACAAAAAATTAAGCAAATGAATGGATAAATTATAAGCTCTTATCAGTCAAAGCAGAGAAGGCTTTAAGTAATTATTTGATTTAAAAGTTATACACATGTATGACTTCAATAAAAATAATTTAATTACAATAAAAGCACAAGTAGAGAAAAAAGAAGAAGGATGCCCAGAAAGTCCACACATAGACGAGAAAATGTGGGTGGGTTCTGTCGGGTAGTGGAAGCAAGGCTAGATTCCCAAATGAGTCAAGGCTTCCTAAAAATAGCTGCAAAAGGGACTTTCATTCCATGTAGAACAAGATGCTGATTAAAGGAACTGGCTTTCTGTGACTGATGATGTAATAATGCTGGAGAGACATACAGAGAAAGCAAAGCCCACAACTACCAGCTACTGAAACCAACAAGAGGGAAACCATATGGCCCTGCCCTTGCAAACAGAGACCCTGACACTGAGGCCAGCACTAGCCAGTGTAGAAATGATGGGCTTCTGGCCAACTCAAGTGTAATGTAAGTGGATGTGAGGTTTGTGGCCTTCAACAGCTTATATGAAACCTGCTCTACTTTCTGGTTTATTATTATTTATTTTAAAGATTGGGGTCTCACTATTTAATTCTGGTTGATCTGGAATTCATAGAGATCTACCTGTCTCTGTTTCCTAGTACTGGAATCAAAGGTGTGTGCCTGGCCCTGGGTGTGCTTTCTGAATCACCAGGTAGCACAGTTTAAAAATCAACATGGCAAAGACTTTTTTCCCTTTGGACCATTCTCACTGTATCTTCAGAATCCACCAACTGGAATAACTAACACACAGACACAGGACAGACTCAGAGAGAAATCAGTGCAGCAAGCACCAGCCTCCCTTCCTTGAGGAACTGAAAAATAAACCATCTCTGAAGAACCCCTTCAGAACTGAGGGAATTGAGAGCTACCTTGCAAGAAGAGGAAGGAACATCAGGAGTGCATGCACAGAGAAAAGCAGGGACATAGGAGGAAGACCATCTTCAAGCCAAAGAGAGAAACACAATTTACTGGTGATACCTTGATCTTCCAACTTTCAGAAATATGAGGGAATAAATTAATGGTTTTTTTGTTTGTTTTTTTTGAGATATGGTCTTTTTATATGGCTCTCTTGGAACTTGCTATGTAGACCAGGCTGGCCTTGAACTCTGCCTCCTAAATGCAAGGATTAAAGGTGTGTACCACTATGCCTGGCTTTAAAATTTATCTTTTAATCTGTCAGGTTTGTGCTATTCTGGTATTGAACCCCTGGTAGACTAAGAAGCTCATTCCCCGAGGCGAGCACACAAAGGACTTGAGGGATACCCTAAAGAAAAAACAAAACAACCCAAATAAACAAACAAACAAACAAACCCCCAGTCAGTCAATAATTCCCATTTTTCTTTATACAAGTGTGAAAAGACGGCAGAGAATAGTTCCTGAAAAGGAGGAGGGGGGAGTAACTTACTTTCTATTTTAAAAGTTACATTGGTTTAATAATTAAAAACATTGCAAGTCCAGGTAAAAGCTACAATTAAGCCCAAAGGTTATTTCTCAGCTAATCAATCTATGATCTGTGGGGGTGGGAAACTCCAGAATGAACTCCAGGACCACAGCTCTCTCTGCTCTGGCACACTGCTGGACATCTGGCTGTGCCTGAGAGTGACACTGCTTCTCTACACTTCCAAATTCCAGAAGGAAAATGCTTTTTAACTTATTTAGTAATTAGACCATAAATATTAGATAAACCCTACCCCTACCCCCATTTAAAAGTTTGGTAGTGATTTTATTCATTCAGCAACAGACAGAGCCAAAAAAACGTTCTCAACTCTGACCACCAGACATATTTTGTGCCATTTACTTGGCAGAGTCCTCTGTTATTTTTCTGATGATCATTTCCAGTTTGATGCCGTCCATGATCACCTATAGCAGATGGTTGAGCTGAGCATACACAAAATAAAAACAAGACATTTTTCTGGCAGCAGGTAATATTAAATAGGTGAGAATGCCATTATTGAAAAAATGAGGTTTGAGAGGCTGGAGAGATCGTTCAACAGTTAGAAGAACACTTGTTGCTCAGAGGACTAAGGTTAGATTCCCAGCACCTACATGGGGACTCACAAACATGTGTAACTCCAGTTCCAGGGAATCTGACCTCTAAGTACACCAAGTCCGCATATGGTGTACAGACCAGACTAATATGGAGGCAAAATACATACAATTAAAAATGAGTAAATCTTTAAAAAAAAAAAAATGACATTGAGAGGCTGGAGAGATGGCTGAGGGGTTAGGAGCACTGACTGCTCTTTCCAGAGGACCCTGGTTCAATTCCCAGCACCAAATGGCAGCTCACAATTGTCTGTACAGACATACATGGCGAAACACCAATGCACATAAAACTGGGCTGGAGAGATGGCTCAGCAGTTAAGAGCACTGCCTACTCTTCCAAAGGTCCTGAGATCCATTCGTAGCAACCATATGGTGGCTCACAACCATCTATAATAAGATCTGATGCCCTCTTCTGGCCTGCAGGCAAACATGCAGACAGAACTGCAACAATAACATTAGGAAAATGGTCACTGGATTTCCAAAAAAACATCCTAATAGGAATAAGGAGGTACAGACAATGACACAGGTGGGAAGGGCCCATTTAAAAGGGAGAATACTGAATAGATAAAAGTGGTGCTCTTAGTGGCAGCAGCTGAGGACATATCTTGGCAGAGCTCCAAGGACAGGCCAGTAAAATGCCTAAATACTAACAAGAACACTATACACATAATAAATAAATCTTTAAAAAATGTTAAAAACTCAAGATGACTTAGATTCAATTTATGAAAAACTATAGGCTTTTGTCAGAATATATCTAGAGCAAATATAGGAATGGTTGCTTGATGCCTGGGGTTACCAAACCTCAAGAAACAGTCCTGCCCATCATCAGAGAAGCCCTCCTTTAGTTAACATCACCAAGGAACCAATCACATATAAAACAACAAGCAGGATATGTGATGGATGAGGGAAAGCATTTAACAGCAATAAAATAACAAGAACAATAAAAAACTGAAAGACTCCCGGGCTGGAGAAATGCTTCAGAAGACAAGAGCTCCCTATTCTTGTAGACGACTAGAGTTCATTTCCCAGAATCCATGTTCCCAACTCCAAGGGATCAAGGCCTCTCAACTCCAAGGATACTGACACTCATGTGCACATACCTACAGACAGACAGGCACACACACAATTTAAAATAATAAAAATGTTTAAGTGTTCTGGGAATATCCTTCAAGACAGGATATAAAGGAAATTCCTAGGGTCAAAGGAAAGATTTTTAGGAGTAGGGTGTGGAGGCACACACTTAGAATCTCTGCAATCTGGAGATTCAGGCAGGAGGATTCAGAACTCCAGGCTAGCCTGGAGTACATAGTGAATCCCGATTTCCAGGAACTTCCTCCAATCTCACTCATAAAGAGTGAATGAACGTAGAAAAGATTCTGGGATTAGAGACACGGTATAGTGGATAAAGACCCTGCCGCCAAGCCAGACAACCTGAGTTCAATCCCTGGCCCCACATGGTAGAAGAGAAAACTGACTCTGGCAAATTAATTGTCCTCTAACGTCTACATGTGAGCCATGGCTAATGTGCATTTGTGCATATGTACGTACACACACTCAATAAGTAAATGTAAAATAAATGTTTAAAAAAGAAAGGAGGTTCTTAGGAAAAAATATCTAAGTATCACTTGTGCTAGTTATGACCATGTATAAATGACTTGGTTTCTTCTAATCTTGATTTTTACAATTCCCTTGGACATTTTTTGATAAGCTGCTTATCTTAAAAGAAAGAAGTATTGGGGGTTGAAGAGAAGAGCACTTGTTGCTTTTGCAGAGGACCCAGGTTGGTTTCCCATCAGCCACATGGTGGCTCAAAATCAGCTGTAAGCCTAGTTCCAAGGGACCTCACACTTGAAAGTACCAGACACACATATATACATACATTCATAAACATGCAAAACATTCATACACATAAAATGAAATAAAAATCTAAAAAAAAGTTTTTTAAAGAAGTATACCCGTCTCTTGTAATAGTGTTCTCTCAGGGAACTGCATTCCACAGTGGGACAAGAAAGCCACCAGAGTTGTATATCCACAGTGAGACATACTAACCTGCTTCTGGATCTGCAGGAATCTTCCACATATACAGGTTGAAGTCATCAGAGCCTGAAAGGATATACTGTTGGAACAAAAGAGATATTGTATATATTATTTTATAATTGGAGATGATTATTCAATTACATATGTAATACAACATTTAGCCTTGTGATATACCTATATCAGTCTGTAAAGAAATTTTATTTAAAACAGGGCCAGTGAGATGTCTCAGTGGGCAAAAGCAATTGCCGTGCAAGCCCAATGACCTGAGTTTGATCCCACAGTGGAGGGCAAGAACAGATCATGTGCATCATGTTTCTCCCTCTCCCTCTCTCCCTCTCTCTCTCTCTCTCTCTCTCTCTCTCTCTCTCTCTCTCTCTCTCTCTCTCTCTCACAAACACACACACACACACACACACACACACACACACAATTTTAAAAAACAGTATAAACTGTCATATATTTTAGGTGTCACAAAGCAAATGGCCTTGCACAAATATTCACAGACCACAAAGTAGGAAATAAAAACAGATCTTCATAGAGATCATTAATGTGAGGTCAAGCATCCTAAATTTCTCTGCATCCTCCTGACATCCTGGAGGAGCAAGCTGCCGCCAACCCAAACATGACTCAGTGCCAAGGACATAGCATTGTTTTATGTAGCAGCTTCAAATTGCCTGGTCTGAAAGGGGTCAATATTGCTTGATCTAATTAATTAGACACACAAACACACTGTGTGCATCTTTGGCCTTCATGACGTTCTCTGAAGCTAGCCTAGTGCTCACACTGATCCTGTCTCCAACTCTTCTGGGAATTGCCGAGCCTGTATTCTCTTAATGGAACCTAGCAACTTGTATACCTGCATGCTTTACGTTGTCTACCTGATGCAAGCCCCTTGGGAATTCAGGTGTCACTTTGCATGTCTTTGTAAGCAAGAGAGTAGCTGGCATATCAGCCCCTCTGGGGTAGCATGCAGTGGTACATCATTTGTTAATCTTGTGAAATTCCTGGGCTCCTGGATTCCAACTTTCGAACTGCAAGGAAACTTTTCAATTGGAGTGTAATATATTACCTTTGAGTCTTGAGCAAATTTACATAGTGATTTGTCAACCACTTAGGTGGTAGATTAGGGACATTAGGGTCTCATCTGGGTTCCACCATTCATTCTTGGAGAACAACCAACTTGGTTCTCTCATTTAGCAGGTGAAGATACTAAATCAGCGCTTTCTCCTCGATGCCCCAACCTTGAGGAGAGCATAGCTTCACTGTAACTGCCCTACCTTCACTTCTCATTCATGCTTCTCAAAGTTTTTGAAGGCTAGGAAATGGGTTTTTTAAAACCATAATAAGAGTGGAGACAAGATCAGTGTGAGCATTAAGCTAGCTTCAGAGTCACGAGGGCCAAAGATATAGCCATGGCTCTCCTGTAGCCTGTGGGATCAACGGGTGCAGCCCCCTATTTATCCCTCGGGTTACCTCCTGCCAGGCTCCACATCTCTATGCCAAAGGCTTTCTCCAAAGCCTTTCGGCAGATCGGCAGATCACACCAAGAAATGAGAACTGCACAGGAGCAGCCATTAACCAAAGACTGATATGAGCAGTTTAGGAGCAGCCTGGCTTCCTGTCCTGACAAAAGAACCTGACATGGAAGTTTGTGCTTTACATCCTCGCCCTCTAGGCAAGGCGGCTCTTTTAGACTTCCTCTACCCTCCCAACAGCTCTGCTGTTGCTTACTGCATTTCCAAAGAATTAGTTACACCTGAAAACTGCACCCACTATAAGACACAGGTGGAGGGAGCCAGAACACAAAAGAACCATCTACTAATTACATGCATGCATGCATGCCTGTATGTATGCATGTATGTATGTACAGAATAAAACTCTCTTGTCAATATCTCGCTGTTCCATGTTCTGCTTAAAAGAGGCTGTAAACCTGCCATAGAGTTCCTGCTTCCTTCCTTCCCCAAACTAAATCACAACAACAACAACAACAACAAACAACAACAAAACGCATACTAAAAAAAGTACAGCAAGGCTATGCTTATCAGAGGTCTTACTTTACTGAAGGATCAGTACTTTGCTACTTGCTTAGTATTCCCTGGGGCAGAGCCCTGGGAATGTTAAAGGGTCGGCCTAGACAGAACGCTGACTCAGAAGACAGCCTTAGAAGGAAGAAAATGCTCCCACAGAGTTAAGCATGTTGGTTGTAATATGCTAGCTACTCAAACACACAGAAAATGCTTAGAATGCTTTAAATGCTTTTGGGGATAAGACAAGTTCTGAAGCTCGTCCCTTAAAACGACTCTTCTATCTACCAGGACAGAACTGCTTGGGATAATTTCCAGGGAGGGGGTCTCGACCCACTGTTATCTAGTCAGACTGTGTAAGTGTGTAAGTGCTCACCAACACTGGAATTACAAGATGCCCTGAGGACTTCATTTACAGCATTTAGTGGTTGTCTGTGGAACTCCTGCCAACATTAACAGTTGGCTGCCTGGGATACTGTTAACTGGGAGAGTCTGAAATAAAAATGAGTTCATTCTTTTATTCTTTAAACAAATATTTATTGAGTGTCTACTATGTACTGAGCACTGATCCAGGGAAGGAAATAAAGAACTGGCAAAAAGGGACTCTGTCCCTGCCCTCATGGACCTATCATCTTATATAAAGTGGAAAAAGGGTACAACACTAGGAACAAGAAAGATACACACACATGGTATGCGCCCAGGCGGATCTCTGTGAGTTCAAGGCCAGCCCGGTCTACTGAGTTCCAGGACAGCCAGGGCTACACAGAGAAACCCCATCTCAAAAAACCAAACCAAAAAACCAAAACCAACCCCCCCCCAAAAAACACACCCCCCCAAAAACAGAGGAAGGAAGGAAGGAAGGAAGGAAGGAAGGAAGGAAGGAAGGAATACATGATGCTCCCAGGGTGGGTAAATGTTAAAAGAAAAGCAAATCATCTCAGGGTAGAGAATTAGGGAGTGGTGGGGCAGCTTGTTTCTCTCTCTCTCTCCCTCTCTCTCTCTCTCTCTCTCTCTCTCTCTCTCTCTCTCTCTCTGTGTGTGTGTGTGTGTGTGTGTGTGTGTTGTTCACAGAAGGCCTCTCTGATAAAAAGGCATTTTGAGCAAAGCCCTGAAGGAAATGAGGGAGCAAATTATGTGGCTATTTGGGAGAAGACTATTCCAGAAAAGGGCAGAGAATTCTGAGCTATTCCAAAATATAAATTAGTAAACTGTGTGTAATGTCTCAAACCTGTAATCCAAGTGTTCAGAAGGCTTTGAAGCAAAGAGCTGAGTGAGGAAGGTCCTAGCCTAAACGACATTTCCAAGTCAGCCTGGTCTACACAGAAAGAACCCGTCACAAAACAAAATGCAGAACAAATTAATTAGCCAGTGAACCTAGGCCCCACATACTCTGAGTGGTACTTTACCACTCAACTCTTTCTCAAGTCTTTTAAAAACCACTGTCTTGAGACTGGGTCTTACTAGCTAGCCCCAGCTGGCCTTGAACTTGTGACCACAGGCCTTTGTCATCAGGCCCTGCTGTTTTTCAAAGCTGTGGGCCTGGTGTAGAGAGGGATTTATTTCACCACTGGAAGAATCTCCTTTCCTAAAGTTGCCTCCTAGGGCTGGGCTAGTTGAAGCCTCAGACTGAGTGAGGACTGCCTAATGGTTAGTGCTCAAGGCACTAACTAAGTCCTGGTGGGCTCTCTCAAAAGCATTCTGCTGTGGGGTACAATGGAAACTGAACAAAAACAGAAGAGCTCTCATGCCAGTCAATACCAAGAGAAATCTACAGTATATCATCTTATTAACATAAATGATAATAATCATTTGGACTAAATCAAAACAGAGGTGTAATTTCTCTCTTTCTCTTGGTATCTCTTTTTCCATATTGCTGGATTAAAGACTGGGCCATCATGATCCAGTTTCCCACATGGGTTGTGAGAATACTGGGGCTGGGGTGTGGAGTGCTGGATTGGATCCTCATACTTACATATAAGCACTTTACCAACCTAGCTAGCTCCCCAGCTCTAACAGTCTCTATCTTGACACCTAATTTTAATTGGGTTTTTAAAAATTGTTTTGTTTAGTTAATTTTTAAGAGTCTTATACAGCCCAGGCTGTCCTCCAACTTAAAAATAGCCTTGCACTCCTGGTCTTCTGACTTTACTCAGCCTCTCCATTTTCCCTTGACCATCCTCTACCTCCTCCTCCTCATCTCCTCCCCTCTTAACCTGATGTTCCTCCCCTCCCTCCTTCCCCACCTCTGTTTGAGATAGTCTCACTATTGGCCTAGACTGATTTAGAACTATCAGATCTCCAGCCTCAGTCCTCTTGTAAAACTTCACAGTAATGTGTGAGATTTTCCCACGGTGATATTTATTTATTTAAGTGTATGTGTGCTGTGTATGTGAGTGGCCACCTGTATCATGGAAGGCATGTGGAACTCAGAGGACAACTTTTGGGAGCTGGTTCTGTCCTTCTACCATATGGATCAAAGGGATGAAACACAGGCTGGCAGGCTTGGTAAGCCATGTCACCAGACCCACCAGTGAGCTGCCTGGTGTTGATGCTGGTAACTGAACTCAGTTCTTCAGGAAGAACAAACTGTGCTTTTAACCACCGAGCCATTTCTCCAGCGCCTACTTTTTCATCTCTCTTTTAAAAAAATTTAAAAATGTATTTATGTGTACGAATGTTTTACCTGTATGTATATAAGTGTACCATGTGCATGTATCAGATCTCCTGAAACTGGAGTTGCAGGTGGTTGTGAGCCACCATGTGGGTGCTGAAACTCGAACCTGGGTCCTCTGCAAGAGCAACAAGTGCTCTTAACCACTGAGTCATTTGTGATGGTTTGAACGAAAACTGTCCCCATAGGCTCATATACTTGAATCCTTGGTCTCCAGTTTATAGAACTGTTTGGAAAAGATTAAGAGGTGTGGCCTTTTGGAGAGATGTGTGTCACTATGGATTTGCTTGTTCTCTCCTCTCTCCCTCTCCGTCCCATCACTATTTGTGAATCAAGATGTGAGCACTCATCTGTTCCTTCATAACACCATTATGAGCCCTAACC